AATAAATTGTACTTACTGTAGTTTCCACTGTTGTTCCTCGTACGTGCAGCTTCACAGTTCTGCTTTACAGCTACTAAATTGGTGTAGCTTTACAGTTCTGTTTTAAAGACACTGAACTGTTAAGCAGGCACCCCAACCAATCACACACTGCGCTGATGAACACGTCACAATGTAACGGCACTCCAGCCAATCACACACTGCGCTGATGAACACGTCACAATGTAACACACTCCCTTACCTAATGAACATGTGACAATGCAATTGTATACATAGAAATATATAAATATATATATATATTTGCTAACACTTCAACGTCATTACCAGATGCCCACTACAAAACTTTCTGACAGCTTTAATTTTTTCTTTTTTTGTGTATTTCTATGTTCGGTTATTACAGCGTTACAAATAAACCTGTCGGTAGGCTCTTTTGAGGTAGAAACTCTGTAAATCGGCGTTGAAAATGGCAGCGACTTTTCCACTGAGTAAAAGACCGATATTAGACGTCTATCCTAAATGTATGCTTCTTTAATGTCGGGATTCGGGCTGTTTCTAGACGTGATTTATACTTCGCCCTCAATTTCATTTTTTGATAACTTTTTATGCAATAAGCAATTGTCATGTGCATAACTGACGTCCGGATTACATTAGTTATGATACCGTGCAAAGATATCCAGCATTGTTTTGCTTCAATCAATCATGAGGCATAGTGAGGCTGAAGCCTCAGGGCAGGTATTGCCACAGAGGAAAAAGTGCCTAGAAACTAAATGTCGTTGCATTTCAGTTGGGCAACATAGACTGTGATTCATAACATAGCTCTATTGACAGTAAGAACTAAAAAGAACTAGGACCCCGTTGGGGCACTGGCGGGCCCGAGCTGTGTCGCGTCCCCCCCCCAACGCGCTGCCTCCCCGTCCCATTTGTGTCCTCTGGCCATCGCCCTCTCTGGTAACGCCCATCACTGCAAAGACCCTTTTCCTTCATCGGCGTTTGCTGTTCTTCCTGCCAGTGCGTGTTGCTTTCACTTACACTTGCCACAGCCAGCCTCTTGAGTGCCTAGCCTATTGGATATCACTGTCACCTACTCAGGACAGTCATTACCTTTCTATTAATACTTTGTTTTTTAATTTCACATTAATTTCCATATTGTATAAACAACTGGAAAAAACTTGAGCCCCTGCCCCTGTATAATCATGTGCACGTCTCTGTTCTAGCTCTAAGGTGAATCTTCACTGCTCATGTTCTCCTCAGAAGCAGTCACCTCACTCCCCTCAGGTTACTGTACACATGCACCAACTGCCTGCTTCAGGTTTGGATGGAGCTTCATGGTTGTCTTTTGGAGAAATGAGCAGTCAAGTTGTGTTTGAAATTTGATTTTTTTCAGGGGCAAAAGGAGCCTCTGCATTCTTGTCAAATATGTAAATAGCATGTTTTTGCAGGTGCTAAAAACCAGACTCTGAGTGTGTGTGTGTGCGTGTGTGTGTGTGTCTGTGTGTGTGTGTGTGTGTGTGTGTGTGTGCGTTCAAGTCACATGACATATTTAACCGGATGTAGCTGCAAGACGGAGCCTCGTTGACTCCGTTTCAACTTATCTCAAAAGTGAGGACCTCAACCTATATACCAGTTTTTAAATTGTGTTGATAGGCCAAATAAAACCAGAGTTATGATAAATTATGTCCGCGATACTTGTTTTCTGCTTATTTTGATCACGTTCGGCGCTCGATCGCGCTGTATGAGACAGGAAAACATAGCATGCAGACATTAGCGACAGGTCTTACAGGCGGAAAAGGCTTGCCAAAGGAAAAAAAAACACACCACAACATCTCTCCTATTGGTGGAAAACTTCACCACAACAACCAATCCAAAATTATATGGTGACTGATTGACAAGGGGCGGGCACTTACGTTCTTCCTGCAATATGAGAAGGGAGGGAGGGACTCTCAGCAGGGATGCAGTCTGGGACACGTAGTTGCAAACCTAGCGACTTTGTTGTTAGATTCAATGACTTTTCAGACCCCCTAACGACTTTTTTTTAGAAAGAAAGTGACTTTTATCGACTTCTTCTGGAGTTTAGAGACTCTGACATGAAGCAGGCTTTCCTTACTGAGGAGTTAGCAACGCTGCTAAGGGTGCAGAGCCACACATGCGCTCCGAGCTCTGCATGGGAGACTGAAGCTGACAGAGCTGCAGCAGTTAGCAGGTTTCACCCTCAGAGACCACCAGGGGTTCATGTTGAGGCATTTTCAGTTTTTTTTTTTTTTTTTTGCCATAGACACTGTCAGCACAATCTGCAGTTACACTAACAAAAATGCTGCAAAAAACAAAGAATTATGGAAAAATTACACATGGACTAACATAGAGGAGGATCTACACAAGTTTTTTACATCATGTTTTACATCATGCATCATTTACATCATGTTTTTTTGTAGTGGCATAAATAAAAAGTGACATTTGTGAGACTATACAGTGTTTTGTAAATAATTTTACAAAGAACACCTGGGCCATTGCCTGCATTTTGATGTAAATAGAGGTAAATTACTATGTTCTTTGTTAAAAATTTGCATATGTTTTGAAGTTTACAATTTTTATTTGAAGTTTAAGTTTTAAAAACAGTTCATCACACATATTTGTGGTTTTCACAGTAAAAACGTTACTTTTTTCCACTCGGATTTTATGTTTTGTGTGTGAATTTGGGTCCAATGTGTAAATATAGTATGTCAAAATGATAAAATAACTGTAAATTGACACAGGTGAGGTTGTGCTGAAAAAAATGATACCAGGCAAGGCAAGGTAAAAATTTTGTAAGAGGAAATATAAAGGTAAAATCTAAAGTAGTCAAAAACGGCCAATAGTGACTCACAGACTCCACAGACAAGTCCCTTTGGCGCCACTCAGTGGGCAAAACTACTTTGTCTACTGTAATGTATATTTGGGTCATCTTTGGCGCCCCCTAAAACGTAAACCGTGGGGTGCAGCGTCATGATTTTTACAACTTTGAATGGCCATGGAGTGTAGATTGGCCTGAGCAAATTTGGTGTCAGTGGGACGAAAGCCTTAGGAGGAGTTAGCGAAATTCCAATGTGTGCGAATCGGCAAAAAATGCAAAATAGCCCTTTTACCGTACATTATACAGATACGCGCTCTTTGACTTTTTCGTAGATCTAATTGAGATACACATGATTGTCAATTTTTGTGTCATTTTGCCAAAGCGTACAGGCGTGACAGTCAACAATGTGTATTTTCACCTTAGGGGACAAGAAAAAATGGACTTTTTTCTCCTGCCATGGGGGGGCGCTCTTTTAGGGAGTAAAAATTCCTTCACAAATGTGTTGATGGCTGGACATTGCATCATCCTAGAAAACTTGGAGGCCAGTGAGGACAAAAATAAAAAGTTATAAGACTTTTAAAAATGTGGATTTTTGGGTTATCTTTGGCGCCCCCTAGAATGTAAACCGTGGGGTGCAGCGTCATGATTTGAATAACTTTTAATGGCCATGGGGTGTAGATTGGCCTGAGCAAATGTGGTGCCGGTGGAACGAAAGCCTTCGGAGGAGTTAGCGAAATTCCAATGTGTGCGAATCGGCAAAAAATGCGGAATAACCCTTTAACCGTACATTTGACAGATACGCGCGCATGGACTTTTTTGTAGATCTTATTGAGATACATGTGTGTGTCAATTTTTGTGTCATTTTGACAAAGCGTACAGGCGTGACACTCAACAATGTGTATTTTCACCTTAGGGGACAAGAAAAAATGGACTTTTTTCTCCTGCCATGGGGGGCGCTCTTTTAGGGAGTAAAAATTCCTTCACAAATGTGTTGATGGCTGGACATTGCATCATCCTAGAAAACTTGGAGGCCAGTGAGGACAAAAATAAAAAGTTATAAGACTTTTAAAAATGTGGATTTTTGGGTTATCTTTGGCGCCCCCTAGAATGTAAACCGTGGGGTGCAGCGTCATGATTTGAATAACTTTTAATGGCCATGGGGTGTAGATTGGCCTGAGCAAATGTGGTGCCGGTGGAACGAAAGCCTTAGGAGGAGTTAGCGAAATTCCAATGTGTGCGAATCGGCAAAAAATGCAAAATAGCCCTTTTACCGTACATTTGACAGATACGCGCTCTTTGACTTTTTCGTAGATCTAATTGAGATACACATGATTGTCAATTTTTGTGTCATTTTGCCAAAGCGTACAGGCGTGACAGTCAACAATGTGTATTTTCACCTTAGGGGACAAGAAAAAATGGACTTTTTTCTCCTGCCATGGGGGGCGCTCTTTTAGGGAGTAAAAATTCCTTCACAAATGTGTTGATGGCTGGACATTGCATCATCCTAGAAAACTTGGAGGCCAGTGAGGACAAAAATAAAAAGTTATAAGACTTTTAAAAATGTGGATTTTTGGGTTATCTTTGGCGCCCCCTAGAATGTAAACCGTGGGGTGCAGCGTCATGATTTGAATAACTTTTAATGGCCATGGGGTGTAGATTGGCCTGAGCAAATGTGGTGCCGGTGGAACGAAAGCCTTCGGAGGAGTTAGCGAAATTCCAATGTGTGCGAATCGGCAAAAAATGCGGAATAACCCTTTAACCGTACATTTGACAGATACGCGCGCATGGACTTTTTTGTAGATCTTATTGAGATACATGTGTGTGTCAATTTTTGTGTCATTTTGACAAAGCGTACAGGCGTGACACTCAACAATGTGTATTTTCACCTTAGGGGACAAGAAAAAATGGACTTTTTTCTCCTGCCATGGGGGGGCGCTCTTTTGGGGAGTAAAAATTCCTTCACAAATGTGTTGATGGCTGGACATTGCATCATCCTAGAAAACTTGGAGGCCAGTGAGGGCAAAAATCAAAAGTTATAAGACTTTTAAAAATGTGGATTTTAGGGTTATCTTTGGCGCCCCCTAGAACGTAAACCGTGGGGTGCAGCGTCATGATTTGAATAACTTTTAATGGCCATGGGGTGTAGATTGGCCTGAGCAAATGTGGTGCCGGTGGAATGAAAGCCTTCGGAGGAGTTAGCGAAATTCCAATGTGTGCGGATCGGCAAAAAATGCGAAATAGCCCTTTAACCGTACATTTGACAGATACGCCCGCACTGACTTTTTTGTAGATCTTATTGAGATACATGTGTGTGTCAATTTTTGTGTCATTTTGACAAAGCGTACAGGCGTGAAAGTCAATAGTGTGAATTTTCACCTTAGGGGGCGCTATGGAGCCATTTTGCATTTTCTTGTTTGGGCGACTTCGGAATATCAAATTTTTCACCAGGCCCGGTCGTCCTGCCAAATTTCATGAGTTTTCGCCAGTGGGAAGTGGGCCATTTTCCAGTTCAAAGGGGAGGAAAAAGAAAAAAGAAACAAAGAAAAACCACTTGGGGAATAATAGGGCTCTCGCAGCTGCTTAGCAGCTACGCTCGGGCCCTAAATATCTACTCTTGCCATCTTATCGATTAATAGTAATCAGTGTTTCGGTGTCGAACTAGTTCCTTTGTGCGGTGAGTGATACATGAGCACGCGCAGTCGAATATGCAGAAGGGTGAAGCCATTTCTGTCACGTGGACCAATACGTAGCGAGTCTCGTTTCCATAGTTCACCCAGTATTTTGGCTACAGCTGGTGGCTAGTGGAAAACGTCACATAACCACCCATAACTGCAGTAAATTCGACAAAAGTACTACTAAAAACTGCCATTTTTTTGCGCGTGTGGGATAGGGGGGGCTATTAGGTTTGCTTAGTTTAGGGGTTACAGAAGGTATAATCCGGGCCTGAGCATAGTATAGATGTAAAGAGTATTTACACGCATAAATTTATACTCCATTTCAACGTCAGGATTCGGTTTTTTTAGACGTGATTTAGACGTAAACAATTATACGTCCTTTCAACGTCTACATATAGACCGAAGTCACACAATCAATATTAATCAACAATTCAAGAGTTGATTATTGAAAATGATAACTGGAGGTTGCAGAACTGATTTCGATTTATGGGACTACTTTCATCTTGGGAGCGTAGCCAGTGTTTTCGCCATATCCGGTTAAAACACTAATACGAAACAAACAAAAACACACCCACCTTCAGATCTTAAAGCCTGGGTCTCATTGAGTATTTCACAAGAAAATTGGTCGCTGAAATTTAATGTAAGTATTAGATTTCATGTGGTTTATCAGTGTCGGTAACGCCGATTGACTCTGTGACAATAACACAGGATCACATGAGCCCTTTCACGTGCCTATTCACGTGATCCTCCGTGTAACCACTTAGAGTAAGGTCTAATTCCGCCAAGAGCGAACTAGTCCGTGATAACAGTTGTCGGTATAACAGCAATACTACGAAATGAGCTACAATAAAGTATTTAGTAGCTCTGCAACAGCCCGGCTTTACACCTGTATTGACATTGTACCGTAATCGGACTAAAACATGTAAAAGGCTTCAAATTCTGGACCGCACAACATCCTACTGAATCACTGCGCTTTGTTCACATTCGCCCTCACTACCATGCAAAACTCCTATTTTGTTCGAACAAAACTGAATAATATGCGTAATTCTTCCTCTGCATATTGCAGGGCTTGTTGGTACAACTTCTGTTACATATTTAAGCTTTTTCTCAAACATTAATCAATGAAAACATCAGCTACAGCACTCATTTTCATGTGCAAAGTAGAGCCGCCGCCATTTTGTTCAATGTGCTTGTGCTAGGCGTCTCCTCGCTTAGCAACTGTATCTATGGAGGAGAGGGAGGGCTGGGTGGAGCCCGCCGAATGGTGTTCTGTTATTATTGGCTCTGACTGTAACCTCAGTCGCAAGTCATTAAATCCAGCTTTTCGATTGGTCGAGCTCCTCTTTATTTTCCAGTATTTTTGTCGCTCACTTCGTCTGACTGATCTTTTGAGGATAACAGACTACCTTCGACAGAGAGCGAGTTTTACGAGCAGATCTGTTTTTGAAGATTTTTTACACGCTTCACCGATACACATCTACATATACACATCTTCCACTACATCTTTCACATTTAACAAACACACACACACACACACACACAACACACAAATTCTCACGGTCAACCTCGGCTGAGTTTGACTGTCTTTTATTCCACCTATCCACGGAACGGCTGCTCATCTCGTCTGTTACAACTTCAGTACGGTAAGTCATGTGTTATCAGCTTATTTGTTGTGTTTTGCTGTTGTTGAGGGAGAAGTTTTGCTCAAACATGCAGCTAAAAAAACTGTTGTGGCTAAGATAGGCGTGCTGAGTTGTTTACACAGGGCCGCTAACAAAGTAGCTAGTGTGCTACTCTGTTAGCGGCCCTGTGTAAACACCAAGCTAGTTGTAACTTCGTTATTCTGTGACTTCACTGCACTCTCGGAGATCACAATGTAGCATTTTGTGGTGGTGGCGGAAGTGTATTGTGTTGTTTCGCGTTCTTTGTCCGCATCGCAGAGGGGCTATTGTCTGATTTTGCGGTCTGTGTCCACATTGCAGTGCAATTATTGTCTTGTTTCGCTGTCTGCGTCGGCATCGCAGAGGGGCTCTTGTCTGGTTTTGCGGTCCGTGTCTGTGTTTTTGGGTTTATTTGTCGTATTTTGCATGCTAACCAAACTGTTGTGGCTAACTAGGCGTGCTGATGTGATGTTTACACAGCGACGCTAACAAAGTAGCTAGTGTGCAACACTGTTAGCGGCGCTGTGTAAACAGTAAGCTAGTTGTAACTTCGTTATTCTGTGACTTCACTAAATTCTTGGAAATCATAATTTAGCATTTGACGGCGGTGGTAGTCTATTTTCTTGATTCGCTTTCTGTGTCTGCATCGCAGACGGGCTCTTTTCTGGTTTTGAAATCTGTGTCGACATTGCAATGCAATATTTTTCTTGTTTTGCTGTCTGCGTCGGCATCGCTGAGGGGCTATTGTCTGGTTTTGCGATCTGTGTCTGTGTTTTTAGGTTTATTGTGGTGTTTTGCTGTTGTTGAGGGAGAACTTCTGCTTAAACATGCATGCTAACCAAACTGTTGTGGCTAACTAGGTGTGCTGATTTGATGTTTACACAGCGACGCTAACAAAGTAGCTAGTGTGCAACACTGTTAGCGGCGCTGTGTTAAGCCAGTTGTAACTTCGTTATTCTGTGACTTCACTAAATTCTTGGAAATCATAATTTAGCATTTGAGGGTGGTGGTAGTCTATTTTCTTGATTCGCGTTCTGTGTCTGCATCGCAGACGGGCTCTTTTCTGGTTTTGAAATCTGTGTCGACATTGCAATGCAATATTTTCTTGTTTCGCTGTCTGCGTCGGCATCGCTGAGAGGCTATTGTGTGGTTTTGCGATCTGTGTCTGTGTTTTTAGGTTTATTGTGGTGTTTTGCTGTTGTTGAGGGAGAACTTCTGCTTAAACATGCATGCTAACCAAACTGTTGTGGCTAACTAGGTGTGCTGATTTGATGTTTACACAGCGACGCTAACAAAGTAGCTAGTGTGCAACACTGTTAGCGGCGCTGTGTAAACATTAAACCAGTTGTAACTTCGTTATTCTGTGACTTCACTAAATTCTTGGAAATCATAATTTAGCATTCGACGGTAGTGGTGGTAGTCTATTTTCTTGATTCGCGTTCTGTGTCTGCATCGCAGACGGGCTCTTTTCTGCTTTTGAAATCTGAATCGACATTGCAGTGCAATTATTTTCTTGTTTCGCTGTCTGCGTCGGCATCGCAGAGGGGCTATTGTCTGGTTTTGCGATCTGTGTCTTTAGATTTATTGTGGTGTTTTGCCGTTGTTGAGGGAGAACTTCTGCTTAAACATGCATGCTAAACAAACTGCTGTGGCTAACATAGGCGTGCTGATTTGATGTTTAAACAGCGACGCTAACAAAGTTGCTAGTGTGCAACACTGTTAGCGGCGCTTTGTAAACAGTAAGCTAGTTGTAACTTCGTCATTCTGTGACTTCACTAAATTCTTGGAAATCATAATTTAGCATTTGACGGTGGTGGTGGTATTTCATTTTCTTGATTCGCGTTCTGTGTCTGCATCGCAGACGGGCTCTTTTCTGGTTTAGCGGTGCAATTACTTTCTTGTTTTGCTGTCTGCGTTGGCATAGCAGAGGGGCTATTGTCTGGTTTTGCGATCTGTATCTGTGTTTTTAGGATTGTTGTGGTGTTTCGCTGTTGTTGAAGGAGAATTTCTGCTTAAACATGCATGCTATCAAAACTGTTGTGGCTAACACAGGGGTGCTGATTTGTTGCTACACAGCGCCGCTAACAAAGTAGCTAGTGTGCAACACTGTTAGCGGCGCTGTGAAAACAGTAAGCTAGTTGTAACTTCGTTATTCTGTGACTTCACTAAATTCTTGGAAATCATAATTTAGCATTTGACGGTGGTGGTGGTAGTCTATTCTCTTGATTCGCGTTCTGTGTCTGCATCGCAGACGGGCTCTTTTCAAGTTTTGAAATCTGTGTCGACATTGCAATGCAATATTTTTCTTGATTCGCAGACGGGCTATTTTCTGGTTTTGCGGTGCAATTATTTTATGTTTTGCTGTCTGCGTTGGCATAGCAGACGGACTATTTTCTGGTTTTGCGGTGCAATTATTTTATGTTTTGCTGTCTGCGTTGGCATAGCAGAGGGGCTATTATCTGGTTTTGCGATCTGTATCTGTGTTTTTAGGATTATTGTGGTGTTTCGCTGTTGTTGAAGGAGAATTTCTGCTTAAACATGCATGCTAGGAAAACTGTTGTGGCTAACATAGGCGTTCTGATTTGATGTCTACACAGCGTCGCTAACAAAGTAGCTAGTGTGCAACCAAAATGGGTTAGCCTCACTGTTTAGTTATTCTCTCTGTATTTTTTGGTGCTTATATAACATAACACACATGTTTAAATTTTGATATGAAGTTTTACAAATATAATAGGTATTATATGTATTATCTATACTTTCAGATGCCAAAAGTGAAGGGTTGGCGTCGATCACAGGCCGCAACCAGGCGCCGCGCTCAGCGCGAGTTCCTGATTGTTGGTCCACAAGGCCACAGTGATGACGTGCCTACAGGTGTGTAACATTTTCTTTTAAATGTATCATTTTTTCTTCACGCACTATATTGCAAACAGTTTCTTATTTCTTTGTATCTTGGAAAAACACATACAAATCAGGTTTACTGTTTACATTTTACAATAATACATGTCAATGTTATCTGTTTAATAGGCACTGTCGGGACTGGTTATCGCCATCGTGTTAACCAGTGGCCAATATCTGTGTTGACTGGTCGGCAACACAAATTGGTCATTCCTCCTGAGGTTCCTGACAAGAAGGCATGAAACTGACATTATTTTTTACCCTCACAACACATATTTCAGCTGATACAGTATTTAATTAGTACTTCTCCCTTTTTCATCCTAGTTTGTTCTTATCGTTGGTGACTCTCACCTGCGCCCGTTTGCTGATGGGGTTGTGCCATTGCCTGAAGGACGGATGTCCTTTGGGTTCATGTCCACACCAGGGGCCTGCGCTGATGGACTGAGGACTGAGATGGTACATGCTGCTGTGCCTCGCAATCCTGACTTGGTCATTGTCATGGCTCCTAGCAACAACCTTACAACCCAAGGGTCTCTTGAGAAGTCGTCTACAGATTTTGCTAAACTTCTCTCCACTGCCGTTGGAAGGTGGTTCAAGGTGGGGCTATGATGTCATTAACACATTTTGTAGTATCTCAATTATGGTTATGCTCAGTAATAACTCTTGTGTTTTTTGTCCTTCTGGTGTGTTTGCTATTTTTATAGGTAATTGTGTATGACTTTCCACCTCGGCTGAACCACCCTTTGGATCATCAGGAGCTGCTGCGGCAGGAATTCCGTCGAGTTGCAGCACGTATGGGTACGTTTTACAACACTTTAAATTCGCCTTCATGACAAAATTCTAAATGACAATATCATCATAAAACCAATCATATAAAACATCTACAGCAAACCCAAACAAATTACATGTATTTTTTAGAGTAACTCACAACTCTGTACATTTTATGGACACAGTGAAAGAATAATTGTCTTTTCTGTTTGTGGTAAAATACACAAATTTGTACTAATGCTTCACTTTGTCTCACTTTACATTAACAGGCATTCGATATGTTTGCCCTGCTGCTGATGACTTCCCCCTGAGACGCCTTAAGCTGTGGTGCAGGGATTCTGTTAGTACAATCCCTACTCATCTGATGTTTCATATGGACTTCATAATAAATGCACACATTTTTGCATCATGCAAATTTGTGATCATGAAAATTGTCTTGTCTTCTATATAGGTCCATCTCAGTGATGATGGTGGGTCGCCTATTCTGGGGCAGCGTCTCTGGCAGGCGGCGTACACTGAACTGGATAGAGGTGATCCTGCATCAGTGCTGTCAGTGCAGCGCAGGCGCTCGCCCCCCTGAGCACTGTCACACCAAAGGTGGTTGTGAGGGGAGAGGTACCTGCACCTCAACCATCCAACGCCTTTGAGTGGACAGTGTGTGGAAAGGTGCACAAGGTAAACATAATTCCTGTGTGTCTATATACATATAGTATATGTATTTAATACAGTATTGTTAATTTTCAACTTACTTATCACAGCAGAATCTCTCTGGCAACGAGGTGGAGGACTCTGCTCCATGCACTCAGCAGGTTTGACATCCTTTATACAACACAACTATCATCACAATTTCTGTATGGATTACACACATTTTCTTTGAGAAGAAACCCTTTTCTAAATTATTACTTTATTTATTCTATTTTTTTTTCTCTCCCTCCATCCTAGTTGTCAACAGTTGGGTTGCGAGACTGTTTTGTGCGTCTCAACCCTATCCATTTCAGTCCACACCTGCTGGATGCCATGGAGAAGATTTCGCCATCCCAGCTTCCCAACCCTGTTCCACAAGATGATGAGGTCAGTGAAAATGTCACACTACAGCAGCACTTTGATTGTTCATTCATAATATGTTTTGTGTTGCACAACAACAATGCTTAGAAGAAATATTGTTTTATTCAGATGCCACGTGTGGAACCACGCAGGACTGTGGTTGCATCTCGGAGGATCCCTACCAGGAAGCAGGTTTGTTTCTTCATTGGCACACATGGTGTATTAATATGCAAGCACGCAGAGCTAGGTTTGCATCTAAACCAAGTTTATCATACAGAACGGAATAATAACATTGAGAAATTTTACTTGGCCCTTAATTTCAAAAAATGTTTTTTCTTAATTCATACACAAATAGGATGTTTAGTATCATCAGTTAATGATTCTTTCTTCAACTATAAAAGTACAGTTTTTTCAATTTGACCTTTTTATCAATGACAATATATTATACACAAACTTTTGTGTGCAGGGAAGGGCCTTGCGTGTCCAGAGCCCAGCTGAGCTGCAGACAACTGAGGTGCCTCCTGCTACAGAACTCACTTCACCTGAGGTGGGCTTGGAGAGGGTGGCAGAGCTCCAGACGTGCCAGGGCGTGGTGACGGTGGACACTGCCATCCTGTCAGCACCCCAGCCAGATGGAGGCACCCAGGTGGAACAGGTAAGTATGCATAAACATCTTCCTCACCCCCCTCTTGTGTTTGGTGATTTTGATCGCTCACCTGTGCAGTTTAGCAGTATGGAGACTGAGGCAGTACAGTTTCTGTGCACTGAGATTGAGAGTGAGATGTCTGACCCAGGTTGGGTAAGAGACAGTATCCAAGGATCATTTCACCAGGGAAGTGATTTATTAAGTAATCACGGAACACAGTGTATGGCAATTGGGCTGGCCAGCGTTGCCAAACACAGTGTCAAAAGCGTTTTCTCGTGGAGTGTGGCTGATCTCGACACAGTTTTGCTCTGTGGGGATCAACTGTACACATATCTGAGAAATAATGACAAAATCAGTGGCGGTTCTGATTTTTTGTGTATTCCTGATTTGCCTGCTTCACACACAATTGATGGCATGGAGTTTGACTTTGAGTATGGTGATTACATGTCTGGACTCATCAACCAGACTGATGGATCACCCATTGCACCTGGGTTGACAACATTGCTGCATAGTCTACAAATTCTGTTTGCCAAATATGACACATGCTTTTTGACATTGCATTGCAGCACATGTGTTGTCATTCATGAGAATAATATGTTTGCTGTTGTTGATTCTCATGCTCGAAATGCTTTGGGCCTGGTGGATCCTGATGGCAGAAGTGTTGTTGCATATTTCCATAACTTGCAGGAACTGTATACACATGCATTAGCCTTGGCTGCATCACAGCATGTGAGCAACCAGGCTTTTGAAGTTGCTGGTGTGCGTGCAATCCCCAGAATGTCAGCAATTGAAAGTATGTGTTTGCCATCCAGCTCAAGAGTACATACTGAAATACTGAGCAAAATGAAGAGTGTCTATGCAGATGTACAGCAGGAAGTGTCACACTCCAAGCAGGGGTGTTCATCCAGTACATCAGTACATAGGAAGCAAGGCTTGAAACGTCAACGCTTTGTGCACGCTCCTGCTGCCAAGAGAGCAAAGACGAACAATTTTGGTGATGATGTATTCATTGTTAAAGACACAAACAACACGAGTGCAAATAATAGTAATGATGTTGTGTGCATTGATGATGCAATAAGCCAGACTGACGACGATGTGATGTGTGTTGGTAATGGAGCCCAACAAGATTTAGTGTTTAACCCCCTTCAGTTAGAGGTTGCCAAAGTTTTGTGCAACACTTTAGGGATAGAATGTCAGAAAGTTGATGTGGAAGGATTTGTAGCAGGCATATTAGGACCTCCATGCAAGAAGCAGCCTATTGTCGGCGATGGCAATTGCTTCTTCAGAGCTGTGAGTCATGTTTTGTCTGGTAGTGAGAAGTTTCACAGGAAAGTCAGGTTGGCAGTTTGTAAACACATTGAATGTCATCCTGGATCATATGAGCACATTCTGAGAAATGAATTTACCTCTGTCAAAGAATATGTTCACATGTCCAGAATGCGATATGTGGGTAGTTGGGCCACAGAAGTGGAGATTCAGGCTGCAGCAGATTGTTTCGGGGTTAGCATTTTTACCTACATTGACAATCGATGGCTTCAATACAGCTGTCAAGGTCGACAATTATCAGAACAGGCAGTGTATTTGGAGAACTGTAATAACATCCATTATGAGGCTGTTGTCTGTGTTCGACAACCTAATGTGGACTGTGATTGCTGTGATTTCTGTAAAGGTGCTGTTGCACATAGTACCAACTATGGTTTGACACAGGTGAGCAAAGATGCGCCATATAACCTCAGGACAGGATGTCAGGACTTCAAGCAACAGAGTCATCACATTTTAAGTCCTTCACATCATGAAAAAAGGTTGTCAAAATATCTTAAAAAGAAGAAGTTTTTGCAAATGAAAATTAACTACCACAAAAACTTCTTGGATTACAACAGACGTAACCAACATGTTAGGAATAGATATAAGCACAATCTGTTGTATCAACAGAAACTCAAGGCTTTAAGTAAGGTCAAATACTTAGATGAGGTGCACAAAGAAGATGTTAAAAACAGAATCAAAATTAAGTATAGAGACGATAATACCCACAGACAAATTGTTAAAAATAGAAGCAAGGACAGGAGCAACATTAAATATAGGGACGATCATACCCACAGAGAAATTGTTAAAAACAGAAGCAGGGACAGAAGCAAAAGTAAATATAGGGACGATAATACCCACAGACAAATTACTAAAGACAGAAGCAGGGAAATAAGTAAGGTTAAATATGGAAAAGCTGCATTTAGACAGACAAAAATAAACTTAGTAAAGACAAATTACCACCAGAACCCAGAACACTTCCTTGCATCTAAGAAACTTAGAATATTAAAAAGGAAGGCAAAACTAGAACAGATGGACTTTGTAATTGAGCAGTTTTTGGAAAAAATCAAAGATGGGCCAGCATTTGTGTGCAGTGTGTGCCATAGACTGTTGTTTAAACACCAGGTTTCGCGTTGTAAGCTAGACAAGTACAGTAGCAATACAAAGACAGCTGGTGTCGCAGCTAGATGTATTAAAGATGTGTATGTGCATAAATGTATGTCTTCTTGTGCCGTACCATGTGTTTTGAAAGCTTCCCCTCGTGGTAGTTTGTGGATTTGTCATTCATGTCATGGCAAGGTCAGTAAAGGTGACGAGCCAGCTGAGAGCGCATCCAATAATCTGACCGTTGATCCAATTCCACCTGAGTTGGCTTGTTTAAATCGCCTAGAGTCGCATTTAATTGCACTCCATATCCCCTTTTTGAAGATGGTAGCTCTTCCTAGAGGTGGTCAAAATGGTGTTCATGGGCCGATTGCATGTGTTCCAGCCAACATTGTCCAAACCAGTAACGCGTTGCCACGTTCAAACATGGAAGGTTCAGTTATTCCCGTTAAACTGAAGCGCAAGCTTACTTATAAAGGACATTATGCATACGAGTATGTTGACCCTATGCATATCAAGAAAGCACTGCATTATCTGAAAGAGAACAATCCGTTCTACAAAGATGTGCAATTCAATGATGACTGGATAAATGAATTTTGCAGGGATGAGAGTGCTGACAAACAGCAGCAGAGTATTGTTGATGAACAGGGAGGATCAAATGCAGAGAGCTCTGAGGCATCTGCAGCTGAGGCAGCTGCAGCTGAGGAAGAACTTCTGCATGATCGGCAGCAGCATTGCATGTTTCAAGACACATGCTCAATGCCTGTTGATATTGGCCAGGAAGCGCTGGACCAATATTTTGATGGTGTTTTGAACTTGGCTCCAGCTGATGGACAGAACCCTGTGAAGGTTTTGACAACAAAGGAGAACGAGGCCAAGTGTTTCCCTGTGTTGTTTCCAAAAGGCCGTGGAACATTTTTTGATAATAGAAAATTTTCTCTGACTCTGTTCCGCTATTTGAGCAACAGGCTATATCATGCTGATGGTAGGTTTGCGCAGAATATTGAGTTTATTTTTTATGCTTGTTACATGCTTGAGTTACACCAAGTCATGTCCAGTGTGTCAATTGCGTTGAGAAAAGGGAAAGCCAGTAAGGTCAGAACAAAGATTAGTGATGTATTGAAAGATGAAGACAACCTGCGTGACCTTTTAAATCATGATGATGGGTACCGGTTTTTAAAACCTGTAAGGGGTACTCCAGCATTTTGGCAGGGAATTCAGAAGGATTTGTTAGCATGCTTGCGACAGCTTGGCAAACCTGCATGGTTTTGTTCATTTTCTGCAGCAGATTTGAGGTGGAAGGAATATTTAGAGAACATTCTTAGGGCAGAGGGGCGAACACAGACATTTGAGGACCTGGAGTGGGCAGACAAGTGCGACCTGTTGCGTCGTAATCCTGTACTCGCTGCTCGCATGTTTGATTATCGCTGGCATCTGTTTTTGAAAGAGGTGTTGATGTCTCCAGCAAATCCAATTGGCAAAATCCTCGACTACTTTTACAGGGTGGAGTTCCAGCAGCGTGGCTCTCCACACGTTCATTGTCTGTTTTGGATTGAGAATGCCCCTGTAATTGATGTAAACACAGATGATGAGGTTGTTCAGTTTATTGATAGATATGTTTCATGTGAACTACCTAACAACACTGACGATTTACATGAGGTTGTTTCTTCAGTGCAGCAGCATTCAAAGCAGCACTCCAAAACTTGTAAAAAAGGTGGAAAACAGTGCCGCTTCAATTTCCCAAAACCAGTGTCTGCTAGGACTTTCATTTCCAGGGCATATAAGGAGGTTGAGATGGAGTGCGTGTGTCAGCGCAACGTCCATAACATAGTAGAACAGTGCACTTGTGGCAAGGAAGAAAATGAGAAGAAGCACAAGCAGGAAGGGGAATTTGCTGTTAAGGTTTTTGAATTAATAGCTAAAGCGTTGTCAGACGAGAACTGCACAATTCAAACTGCAGATGAGCTATTTGCGAGTATAGGTATACGACAGGAGACATTTGAGGCAGCATACAGGAGGTTAGGGAAAAAGACAGAGGTGATTATGCGACGGCAGGTTACTGATACGTGGATCAACCCACATTCCAAGACTCTGTTAAAAGCTTGGAATGCAAACATGGACATCCAGTATGTGACTGATGCTTATGCTTGTGTAGTTTACATCATTTCATACATCTCTAAAGCAGAAAGACAGATGGGATTGATGTTAGCAAATGCACAGCGTGAAGCATCTAAGGAAGACAACCTCAGTGCCAAACAGGCTTTGAACAGGCTAGGAAGTGTTTACCTTCACAACCGAGATGTTGGAGCTCAGGAGGCAGTCTACAAGCTCAGCAACATGCACTTAAAAGAGTGCTCTCGGAAGGTGGTTTTTGTACCGACAGGTGATAATGTTGTCAGGATCAGCAAGCCATTGACTGTGTTAAAAGACATGGCTGCTGAATCCACAGAACAGATGTGGATGATCAACTTTGTTGACCGTTATAAAAACAGACCCAGAGATCATATATTTGAAGCCATGTGCCTTGTCCACTTTGCTGCTGAGTATCGTGTGCTCTACAAAGGTGAAAAATCAAAAAACCGAATTGAACTTGATAACGGCTGTGGGTCTGTGTTGAGAAGAACCCGTACGCAGCCTGCTGTTGTAAGGTACGCAAGATTCTCTGAGACTAAAAGTCCAGAGTTATTTCACCAAAGCATTTTGCAGCTGTTTCTTCCGTATCGTACAGAAGAACAGCTAAAGCCAGAGGGATTTGTCACTTTTGAAGACTTTTACAAAACTGGCCGTGTCATCATTGCTGATGGACAGCTACGTTCAGTGAAGTCAGTTGTGGACTCAAATCGCTGCAATTATGAAATAGATGCTGATGACTTAGATGAGGTTTTGGATTCTGTAAATTTTGATGGTCCTCTAGAAGATGCGTGGGGGCAATTGTTCCCACAGCAAGAAACTGAACGCCTGGAGTCAATCCAGGAACGGGCAGAGCAGATAGAGGTAGACAATAACCCAGTGGAACATATTCCTGATCTGGCTGGGGGTATAGAGCAGGCTAAGGTAACTAAGTGCAACAATTTAAGTAGAAGCGAGGGATTGGCATTATGCAGGTCTTTAAATGATGACCAGATGCGTGTGTTAAACAAGGTCCATCAGTGGTGCGTTGTTAAAGCAGCAGGTAGAAACCCAGACCCCTTTTATGTGTTTGTAACAGGTGGTGCTGGCGTTGGAAAATCGCATTTAATCAGAGCGATTCAATACGAGGCCACAAGGTTATTGTCACCAATGTGTCGACAACCTGACAATATCAGTATTTTGTTGACTGCACCAACAGGGATTGCTGCATATAATCTGCATGCAACCACCCTGCACAGTACATTTAGCATAGGGAAAGATGTTCGCCTCCCTTATGTGCCAATAGGTGAAGAAAAGCTAAACACATTGAGAATGAAATATTGTGATCTCCAAATCTTGATAATTGATGAAATTTCTATGGTGGATCACAATATGCTCACTTATGTGCACGGGCGACTTCGCCAAATTAAACAGACAGGCATTCACACTCCATTTGGAAATGTGAGCGTCATGGCAGTGGGGGATTTTTATCAGTTGCCTCCAGTGAAAGGAAAACCGTTATACATGGAACCACTTGGAGTTGATCTTTGGAGCACTCATTTTAAGGTTGTCAAGTTGACAAAAGTAATTCGGCAGACAGACGAAGATTTTGCCGGACTACTGAATCGAGTTCGGACGCATCCAAAAGACTCAGACATGTTGCAAAGTGATATCACCACTTTGAAACAGCGAGAAACTGGCGAAGAATGCTCAGGTTTGCATATATTTGCCACAAATAGCCAGGTCAATGAGCACAACTTTGAGCAGCTGCAAAGAACATGTCCAGATTACCATGTAATACAGGCTCAGGATTATATAAACAACTCAAAAACAGGCAAACTGGAATTGAAAAAAGGCTATCATACACTAACATATAACACTTGTTTAGATGCAAAATTGTTATTGGGTACTGGCTCTCGTGTCATGTTGACAAAAAATTTAGATTTGGCTGACGGCTTGGTTAATGGTGCATGTGGCACAGTAACAGATGTAGTTTGTGTTGAAAATGAAAAGTTTCCTCAGTGTATTTTTGTGAAATTTGATGATGAAGTAGTTGGTGTTGAGAGGAGGAAACAGTCAGGAAGGGTGTCAGATCATCTTGTTGGTTCCACGGCTATTACACCGGAGGAAGAAAGAGTGACAAAGAAGGGAGGTATGCGCCGTCAATTTCCGCTTCGTCTCGCCTGGGCCTGTACTGTACACAAAGTACAAGGCCTCACAGTTGATACAGCCATAGTCAGTATGAAAAAGGTGTTTTCTGCTGGTCAGGCTTACGTGGCTTTAAGTCGTGTCAGGACTCTTATGGGATTGATCATTCAAGATTTCAATCCCAAAAAAATCTATTGTCGGCCAGAAATCGCTCAGGCCACTTCAAGGATGGCTTCGTTCCTAGAACCTATCACCTGGCAAGGGAGAGTGGAGGACACTTTGACAGTGTTCCTCATGAATGTTCAGGGTTTGAGACGCCATGTGTCTGACTTGGCTCAGCACACACAGCATTTGCAGCCAGAGTGCATTGCTGTGACTGAGACGTGGTTGCATCCAGGTTGTTCCTCTGAGACACTCAAGATAGCCAACTACTCTCTGCATAGTTGTCCACGAGCTCTGGCATATGATGGTCAAACTGCCCCATTTGCCTCTTTGCAGGCAAAAGAACATGGGGGAGTTGCAATGTATTGTGATGGAATTATGCAGTTTGCAATCATCAAGGTGCCTTGTTTCAATGTGGAATGTTTGGTGTACCACTGCATAAACCTCAACATTTTCCTTACAGTCATATATCGGCCTCCAACCTACCCCATGACACTATTCAAACAAAATATTATCAAATTACTCCAATGGCTGGAACAAATTGGCAAAAACATTATTGTCATGGGAGATTTCAACGATGACATATTGAAGGCATCTTCAATTTGCAAATTTTTCCAAGATAGAGGTTATGATCAGGTGATCACCCAGCCTACCACAGAGCGAGGCACTTTGATTGATCATGTTTATGTGAGAGGGGGCATTTTCCACACACAAGCTGAAGTAATGCCTTCATATTTTAGCGACCATGAAGGTATTTACTGCAGCTTTAAAATTTGTGATTAATCATGTACACTGCTGTTTTTGATATTATTAATGCTTTCCATAGAAAAGTAGATGTAACAGTGTTTTAGCAGGTTTCCAAACAGCTGGCTAATGGATCAATTTACAACGCCTGGACAAACCATGATGTCAACGCAAGTGACCACTTCAGGACATTGTAAGTATGAACATTTATGGTGATTGTATGAAAACTAACATGTGATATATAACCTCTCCACTTCATTTACACTTGCAATTATTCTGAACATCACAACTTAACTACAAAGAATGAAAACATTAGCAATGCGCCTATTTACTATTTCTCCAATATGATGACTCCTTCATTTGTCAGCATGTAACTGATGTGATCTCTCCTCTCCTCACTGTTTCAACAAATATACCATACATCTTATGTTTGCTCCAGCTGAAGACTGACCAGCCCATCATTACTCCACCTTTGGTGAGATGAGACCCTGATGGATTACTGAAACAATACACAATTGGTAAGTGTGAATTTCAATTTATACTTGACTATTTTCATTCATACACTATACTACTTGTGTAAACACTCATTGTGTCTCTTCCTCAGAAGGGATGCATACAACAGTGGTATATGATTGCAATTATCATAATTCTAACTGTGTGATAATGTAACTGATGTGTCATGTCTTCTTCACAACATGTAACCATATATTTATCCCATGACACCACCATCACAGGAGATATCAGCCACTGCCAACTCCAGCCAGAAACTAATGCATGCTAAGCAACTGTGTTATCACTATATGTTCATTGATTCTGATTATGTGAACATGTAACTAATATATTGTCTCTTCTTTACAGCCTGTAACCAACAACTCAACCCGCTACTACTCCAGAGATCAGCCTATGTCAAATCCACCCAAAAAGGGATGCAGCACACACTTCACATGTACCAGAAATTGTTATTTTTGTAATTGTTTCTCAGCTTTTTTGTAATAACAAGTCACATAATTTAATTTCATAATACATTTTGATATTTAATTTGTATTTCCTTTGTACCTAAATTTTTATTATATGTATTGCAATGTATTTTAAATATATGAATTTTGTATGAATGATCACACCATTTTTGATAACCTACTCTAGGATTACACACAAAACTATCTATGGTTAACTCTGGTGCATTTACATGCCTTTTAACTTTTATTAATTGACATGCTTATCACTGTGCACTGTCCCTGATAGATAAATAAATAAATAATAATATACATCACTTCTAATAATTTATTTATATTACATATTATCCGCTGTGCTTGTACATGAATTAATTCATTTTACCATTCAAACATCTTGAGTTATTGTACTGACTTTCAGTGGAAAGGTTGTATTCCAATTGTGGACTGTCTACTTTATTATCAGATGTACATATCAGATGGCACTAAAGGGACAAAATTTGTCATGGGTGTATTATCCATCAAAGGGTTCTTCTTTTGCAAGCGTCTTGGTAGATACTTTGCATGCCGCTGCAAGCTTCACATTTCAGGTGAAAAACTTGACTTGCTTGGAGACACAGCACATCCCCAAAGAAAATACAAAAAATCTAAAAACAACACAATCAGCTCAGACTGTATGAGAGCTTATCTCTAAACACAAAAATCTCTAAACCAAACATATTTCAACACAACTGATCCGCTCTACTACAACAATCAAAAACATACAAAAGGCTGACACAACTACAGCAGAGTCTCAAGACAACATTAAGTTTTCTTTTAAGATTTAGATATTAAAATTGTAAATTTAGGAGAATAATTCATAAGGTATATAAAGTCATAAAACTACTTTTGTGGAGGAGGAAATGACTAAAGCTGGTCATCTGCAGGGTTACCGCTCGATGTATCAACAGGTAATTCATAGACTTCTAGTGGTTTCTGAAGAAACAATCAAACTGATAATAATCAGCATTTGTGTTTCAGAGTGGATCAAGCTCAGAGGAGTACCACATCTCTGACACCATCACTAGCCTACACCTGCACAGACAACAACACCTTATGGCATATGGATTCTTAGAAACCACAGCCCAATGTCATCCACAAATATTTACAACTGCATAAACAAATATACCCTCGGCATATTCATTTCTGACTCCATAAAAATAGCTTTTGTAGAGGCTGAAATTAATATGCTAGGGATACATCTGTCAATGTAGCCGTGAATATCTGTGAATGACATTGAACTTTATTTTATGATATGTATCCATATGCCAGAATAAGGTGTTGATGTCTCTGCAGGCATAAATTACCACAATGTCTGAAACGTGATGCTCATCAAAGCTCAACTCCCTCTGTATCACAAATGTTGATCATCATCAGTTTGATTGTTTCTCACATCCACAGATAAACCTGCACATAACCAGCTTCAGTAATTTCCCCCTTCACAAAGGCAACTTTATGACTTTCAATACATTAGGACTTCCTTCTCCAAAATTTACAACTTTAATCTCTAAATCTTAAAAGAATAAAAAAACATAAATGATGTCCTAATCCTCTGCTGTAGTTGTGTCAAGTTGTGTTCTGTTTTTAATTGTTGAAGCAAAGCATATCATTCATCTCTAACTCTTTAGTGTTTGGTTTACAGATTTTAGTGAGCTCAGACATCATGCTCTCAGATAGCCTGAGCTGACTCTCTGCTGTTTTTGGATTTCTTGTACATTCTTTTAAGCCACACTGTGTCTTCAAGCGAGTCCAGCCTCTCACCTGAAATGCACGTCTGTGCAGCAACAAACACAGCATTCTGAAATACCAACAGTGAATGATAAGTATGAGTGTGTCATTGTATAAAAAAAGAAAGTGGTTTACTTACACATCCATAGAAAAAATGTGGTTGCACACAACACGCAAACAAAGCTTTGCCACAACAGTGACACTTCCCAAGTAGCCAATACCTAGGTCACACAATCATAGTGAACAAAGCTCAAACCAGGCCAGGCACTCACAACGCTGGCTGTGGCAAGTGAAAGTGAAAGCAACACGCAATGGCAGGAAGAACAGCAAACACCAATGAAGCAAAGGGGTTTTTGCAGTGATGGCCGTTACCAGAGAGAGCTATGGCCGGGGGGGGGGGACGCAACACAGCTCGGGCCCGCCAGTGCCCCACCGGGGCCCTAGTTATTTTTCTGCCCCTTTGAACTGGAAAATGGCCCACTTCCCACTGGTGAAAAGTCATGAAATTTGGCAGGACGACCGGGCCTGGTGAAAAATTCGATATTCTGAAGTCGCCCAAAAAATCAAATGCAAAATGGCTCCATAGCGCCCCCTAAGGTGAAAAATTCACATGATTGAGTGTCACGCCTGTACGCTTTGTCAAAATGACACAAAATTTGACACACACGTGTATCTCAATAAGATCTACAAAAAAGTCAGTGCGGGCGTATCTGTCAAATGTACGGTTAAAGGGCTATTTCGCATTTTTTGCCGATCCGCACACATTGGAATTTCGCGTACTCCTCCGAAGGCTTTCGTTCCACCGGCACCAAATTTGCTCAGGCCAATCTACACCCCATGGCCATTAAAATTTGTACAAATCATGACGCTGCATCCCACGGTTTACGTTCTAGGGGGCGCCAAAGATAACCCAGAAATCCACATTCTTAAAAGTCGTATAACTTTTTATTTTTGTCCTCACTGGCCTCCAAGTTTTCTAGGATGATGCAATGTCCAGCCATCAACACATTTGTGAAGGAATTTTTACTCCCCAAAAGAGCGCCCCCCCATGGCAGGAGAAAAAAGTCCATTTTTTCTTGTCTCCTAAGGCGAAAATTCACACTATTGACTGTCACGCCTTTACGCTTTGTCATATTGACACAAAAATTGACACACACATGTATCTCAATAAGATCTACAAAAAAGTCAGTGCGGGCGTATCTGTCAAATGTACGGTGAAAGGGCTATTTCGCATTTTTTGCCGATCCGCACACATTGGAATTTCGCTAACTCCTCCGAAGGCTTTCGTTCCAAAGGCACCACATTTGCTCAGGCCAATCTACACCCCATGGCCATTAAAAGTTGTACAAATCATGACGCTGCACCCCACGGTTTACGTTCTAGGGGGCGCCAAAGATAACCCAAAAATCCACAGTCTTAAAAGTCTTATAACTTTTTATTATTGTCCTCACTGGCCTCCAAGTTCTCTAGGATGATGCAATGTCTAGCCATCAACACATTTGTGAAGGAATTTTTACTCGCCAAAAGAGCGCCCCCCCATGGCAGGAGAAAAAAGTCCATTTTTTCTTGTCTCCTAAGGCGAAAATACACATTGTTGACTGTCACGCCTTTACGCTTTGTCAAAATGACACAAAATTTGACACACACATGTATCTCAATAAGATCTACAAAAAAGTCAGTGCGGGCGTATCTGTCAAATGTACGGTTAAAGGGTTATTTCGCATTTTTTGCCGATCCGCACACATTGGAATTTCGCTAACTCCTCCTAAATCTTTTGTCCCATCGGCTTCAAATTTGCTCAGGTCAATCTACACCCCATGGCCATTCAAAGTTGTACAAATCATGACGCTGCACCCCACAGTTTACGTTCTAGGGGGCGCCAAAGAGGACCCAAATATCCACATTTTTAAAAGTCTTATAACTTTTTATTTTTGTCCTCACTGGCCTCCAAGTTTTCTAGGATGATGCAATGTCCAGCCATCAACACATTTGTGAAGGAATTTTTTCTCCCCAAAAGAGCGCCCCCCCATGGCAGGAGAAAAAGTCAAGTTTTTCCTGCCCATCGCTCAATGGCTCAAACGCATCGCTCTCTCTGCAAAACCGAAAGGAGGAGCAACTTGCCATTTGGATATATACTAGCTGTGTTTGTGCCCTCACTCATGGTCCAGACTTTTTTCAAATAGGACATGTAGTTTGTCTGCAGCGAGCGTTTTGGTAGAAACTGCGCCTCCCATTCATTATAATGGGAAATGACCACAGACAAGTGCGCACACCATCTTTGGACCTTGAGTGTGACGCGATCGGGAGGGGGAGGCGGTCGCG